CCTTGGTAACATCTGGAAAGAACAACCAGCTCTAAAAATATGTTCTCCTTTATTATTTATATTTTATGGCAAAATTACAATCACAGCACTTTTGTTAAAGAATATTCTGACAGATGATCATTTTCATCTTCCATGAAAATGGTGCACGTGTTTACTACATAGGCATGATGATTACAGATTTAAGAAACATATATGTTCAATGTATGACTAGAGTCAGAGCTAGATTTATATTTATGTTAATTGTAAATTTGCTTGAAAATTTACTGCATCTTGAAGGGTATTTACACAATTAAGCAGGGGAATAATATTCTCTTTATAATTAACACATTTTATAGCTTTCTGAAAACAAATATGAAAATGTAAAATCAAGTAAATGTGGCAACTTTGATTTTACATATATATGTATATGTATGTCTTCTTTTATTTCATTGAAAAAATTCACTAAATTTCATAGCAGAGACTGCTTTCATTTACTTTAATGCAAAGAATTTTACCTACGTAAAGAATATGAGCTATATTTGCTTAGATAGTTTCTATACAAATTACTTCATTAATTTTGCATTTCCAAAACTGCAGGTAATACTTCAGATAACTATGTTTGGAGCTTATCAAATTTCTAGTTTTAGAAGGTATGATGCTATAATTCAGTTTGCCTTTGGCAAGACTTGCCCAGCTTTCTAGATTATTCCTTCTCATGTAGAATAACTTTAAATATACTTGAGGGCAGTGAAATCTGCAGTAGGAGAATTGGGCCATGAATGACCAAGTCTTTTGATTGTTTTACAAAATTAGGTCCTTGGAAATAATTGGAATAACTTTATTTGAATTCTTTTGTTAAAAAACTTATAAGCCTAAGTCTTATAAATTTAGTGTTAGAAGCTGAATTTAGAAGCAATTTAATCCAAATCCTTCTTTTTGTGAGTGAGAAAACTTGTGATGTAGTGGGGAAAGCATGGGATTTGGGATCAGATATGTTTGAATCCTGGCTTTCTTTCTACCTGTGTGAACCTACCCTCACAAGGTCTCAGTTTACTTAACTAAAAAAAATGAGAACACTATACTATAAATGATTCCAGTGTTCCCTCCTAACTCTGAATTATATGACCTTAAATTAAGGAAAAGGTTTTCAAACCTTTTGGTCTAGGTTTAACCCTTACACTCTTAAATATCATTGTATACCTCAAAGAACTTTGGTTTATGAATTATATTTTATTAAAATTTGCCATATCAGAACCTAAAACTAATTTAAAATTTTATTTATTAACTCATTGAAAATAACAAGAATAAACCCATCACATTTCAACATCAATAAAATATTTTTGAAAGTATCCATATTTTCCAAAATAAAACAAATTTATTGAGAATAGGAGCATCATTTTACATTATTTTTGCAAATCTCTTTAATATTTGACTTAATAGAAGACAGCTGAATCTTGATATCTGCTTCTGCATTCAGCTTATTATGATACATTATTTTAGATGAAGAGAACCAAACTCAGATATGTAGTTGGGAAAAGGGAAGAGTGTTTTAATAGGCAATTAATGTTCTAGTATAATTGAGAAAATAATTTTGACTTCACAGATCCCCTGAAAGGCTCTTGGGGACCCTTGGGATTCTTCAGACCATGCTTTGAGAACTTCTGAACTGAGGTATAAGCGAATTGAATGACTTGCCCAAGGTCACCTAAAAAGTAAATAGCACAGCCAGCTATTAAAACCCAGGTTCTCTGACTCTGAAGTCAGAACTCTTTTCACTCATCATGCTTTGTCTCTAATTTAATTGACTAGAAAATGACAACATTTCATTTAGCTCAATAAAAACAATGCTTCCTGGAAGAGTATATACGTGAAGTTCACATTTTCAGGCAAACATTTCCATATGATTCCTTTTTTAGTCATATTCCTAAGGTTCTATTTTATTTTGTTTCGACTTTTTTTAATCTGTAAAAAATCTATTTTTATACATTATTTTTTATAAATTTATGAAATTTTAATAACTGGATTAAAATAAAATATTGTTGCCCTTGCCCAGCATGACCCGTTGGGCTGAGGAGCAGATTCTTAAGATACGAGCATAACAAAGTCAATGAATTAAGAAGATTTAATTAGATTGTTACCTATGCAAATTCACTCACTATCAGTATATTTAAATAGATGACAGTTGATTTTTAAAGCTTCATTTTAATGTTTTATCATAATAGGAAAAGTTCTTATTTGCCTAAGTTATTTTTTATGCCCTGAAAATCTTTGTTTGTCCCTGCTTTCCTTACCAATTATAGTTTTCTCTCCTATGTTTCATATTTAAATTTCCAAACAGGTTGTCTGGTCAAACTGTCACTTATTCTTTGCCTAACCCCTATGGCAATCTGGCTCTAGTTCATATCATGCTGCTAAAGTTGCTTTCACATAATTCACCATCAATCTCCACTTAGCCAAATTCAGTCTATGTTACATTTAACGTAATTCAATATCCCATCCCTACCCTTATTAGACATGATCTCCTCCCTTGGTCAATCTCACAGTTTTTCATTCTACATAACAGTTTCTCTGCCTTTTTCACTGGCTCCTTTCTTCTCTGGCACTTTTGTGAGCATCTATATTTATATTTAACCCTAGAGCTACTGCTCTTTTTTTCTACAGGTTTTTTCCCCATCAAATACCTTATGGACCATCATGACTGAACTACCTAGTTACATACAGATGACAATAAAATCTGTCTCTAGCCCTGATTTCTCATTTGTCTGTGGTCTTCACATAGATGCCCTACTGTCATCTGAAATATCAGAATTGGAAACTTGATTTCATTGTTTTTTCTACATCTCCGTAAATGGCATCACTATCTTGGAAGGTTTTATTATTATTACTACTAATAAGCATTATTATTACTTCATTGCTCAACATCCAATATCACAAAGTACTGATCATCCTTGGGCTGTGATGTTCTTAACATTGCTATAGTCATTACCCTTAATATATAGAAATATTTACAAAGTGGTAAAAAATAGAAGGTAGTATGAGAAGGATGGCACTAAGTGGTTGGGAGATCAGGAAAGCTTCATGCAGAAGCTAATACATGAGCTCTAGGAGGCAGAGGTAAGGAGGAAGTACATTCCAAGCTTGTGGGATGGACAGTGCAAAGACATGAGGATCAGAGATAAAATGTTGTGTGTAAGAAAGAGAGAGAGAAGGCCATTTTGGCTGGATAACATATTGCTGGAGGGGGAGTAATATCCAGTGAGGCTGGAAATATAGTTTGGGGTCATGGTTATGTAGGACTTTAAAAGCTAAAGAGAGAAGTTTATCTTTTATTCTAAAGGGAATAAGAAATTGCTGGAATAGATTGAGTAGGAGACTCACATGGTCAGATCTGTGCTTAAGAAAAATTATTTTGGCAGCAGTGAGTAGGATGGACTAGAGTGGGGAGAGACTAGAGTCAGAAAAACCAAAAAGGAAATTGTTGCAATGATATAAGTAAAAGGTGATTAAGTCCTGAAATAAGGTGGTAGCTGTTGTGAGTAAAGAGAATGGGTCAGATGTAAGAGATGTTGTGAAAGCAGAAATGGTAAGATTTTGCAACTGATTGGATAAGTAGAGTGAGGGAAAGCGAGCAGTCTAGAATAATGTAGAAATTACAAACCTGTGATGACTTCCACAGAAATATATGTGTTTGGAAGAAGGTTGGGCTTAGGTAGAAGATTATGTGTTCTGCTTTGGGCATGTTGAGTTTGAGATGTTTCTGAGGCATCCAGTTTAAAATAGCCAGTAGGCAACTGGTGGTATACAATTGAAGCTCAGGAAAGGTACTGGAGCTGGATGTATATAGATATTTAGGTCATCTGCCCCAAAAGGATAGCTAAACCCATCGGAGCCAATGAGGTTATTGAGAGAATGTGTGTAGGGGAAGAAGATAAGAGCAAATCTTTGTGAGCTCTTCATAGAAAATGGAATTGGTAAGTTGATAGGAACCTCAAAGACCATATAATCCAATTTCTTCCTTTCTCACATGAGAGAATTGAAACTCAGTTAAATTAAGTGACCTGGACAAAGTCACAGAATTAGTTAGTGACAAACAATCTCAAATTCAGTCCTTTTGCCATTACCAGAGATTTGTGCTCCTTTGTTATCTCTTCCTTAAAACATACTTTTTTTCTTACATTTTTCTAGTTATCAACATAATAACTGTTTGTAATCAAGCCACTCTCTCTCGTTATCTCTTCCATGTCTTGTTAATTTTCACTGCCTGAACTTTGTGAAGTATTTTTCTCACTTGTCATGCCCCTACCTCTTCGTCATTACTGCCTTAGCCAAGACTCACATTCTCCAAAAAGTGCCAGGTCTTTCCATCCTCTGTACTTTTGTACATCCTCTGTATTCTGTACTCTTGCATCTGTTCCTGGAATCCTCTCCACCCCAACTCTGAATCTATCCTACGTTATAAAATCTTTAGATGCTACCGCCTTTATGAATAATTTCTAGATTGTCCCAAGTCTAAGTGATTTCTCTTCTGGAATTTTCCCGACTACATCAGTAGACAGTCAGCTGATGAAGAGTAACAGACCTGGAAACAGAAGTCCTGGGTTCAAATCCAGCCTCAGTGTGTGACTATGAATAAATCATTTGAACTCTATTTGCCTCAGTTTCTTTCTCTGTAAAATGAGGATAATTATAGCACTTACATGCCAGGGTGATTGTGAGGGTAAAATGAGATAATATTTGTTTAAAGGAAAAACAATAACATTTTGCAAACCATAAAGCCGTACATAAATGCAAACTATTTATTGCACTATAAGCTATTTGAAGGCAAGGACTATGTCATTCAGTATTGCAGCCCCAATACAGTGAATGGCACAAAGCAGGTATTTAATGAATGTGTGTTGCATTGAGTTGCGTTATTAAATTAGATAGCAATTCTGACATTGTAGAGTTATTCTTTTCATAATGTATTAATTTAGTTTTGTTCAGAGAGACTAATGGCAGCACCATCATTTATTTTTCAACAGATGATTCAGCCGCCGAGAGCCTTAATGGCAATGAGACTGTGGGGCCTAGTTCCGTTGCTTCGGCAGGAGTACGCTGCAGGGAGATGGAAGACACAAACAGCAATGGCAAAACAAATCTGGAGCAAGATGAGCAACCTCTGAATCTGAGTGACAGTCCCCTTTCTGCCCAGCTGACTTCAGAATACAGAATAGAAGATCACAGCAGCCATGCGAAAAACAAATATAAGAATCTGCTAATTTCTGACCTCAAGATGGAACGAGAGGCAAGAGAAAATGGAAGCAAGGTAAAATGATTTCATAATTACCAGACAATGTGTGTAATATGTTAAAAATTATAACTTAAGATGAAAAGTAACGCGCAACAAAAAATGGGCAGAATTATTGCTCAGCCAAAACTTTTCAGGTAGCTATTGAAGTTTGTTGATTTTTTTTTTCATTAGTAGAACCCTTTCTAGCATGTGGGAATTCATTGGGTTGGAAGTGCAGGATTGGTATGCTCTTGCCAATTTCCAATTTGATAAATACACACATGTGTGTATGTGTATATATGCATATACATATGTATATATATGCATGTATATATTCATATATGTGTATATACATATATATTTCTAATAAGATCACTGTTTGGTTTCTCCCAAATTATTTATGTGCAAATAAAAATTTAGAAACTAGAAGTCCAGAGAACTTTATTCAGTAATTTCCACTAGGGGCACAAAAAGGAAAATGGTTCTGTTGTACGTGAAAATGAAGCTTGCGGGTTAGAACAGATCAATTAGCCTGATGAAAATCATTTTTCAAGGTTAAGTTATTGTTGAAGAAGGTCGAAAGATTCTATTTATGGATATTTTCATTACCTTATTTATATATTAATTATAAGTCTGACTTTTTGAAATTTCCAAATGCTTAACAACTATAACAAGAATTGAAGTTTGGCAGTGATTTTGTACATCTCACTCTACTGATTTAACTTAACACTCCAGCTCTAATTTGCAACATGATTAAATTTTCTTGATGAATGCAAGTTTTTAGTAGTGAGACATTTAAGTTGTTTCTCAGCTTGAAATAGCTCTTTACATATCAGTGTAATGTCTTACACTGGATTTACTCTAGGCTCTGTCAGTGCATCCTGAGTTCTTAGTCAAAATTGTCTCCTCACTTGCTTTAGGGCATTTGTTTTATCCCTTTGTAAGTCATTCACGCAGACACCATCAGACACTAGGCTCTTTTGCCTGAGCTACACACCTATTAGTTACTTTAGTAAATACTCAAATATCCTTTATGGAAGAAGTCTTAAGGTAGAGACATATCAAATAAACTGGCTAACATCTCTAACATGATCTGAATCATATTGTTATCTTTGGGTATACTAAGACAATTTAACTAATTTAAAGTTGTCATTGAAATGAAAATGTCTTCTACTTTCTTTTTTTTTTTTTTTTTTGCGTGAGGCAATCGGGGTTAAATGACTTGCCCAAGGTCCCAACAGCTAGTACGTGTCAAGTGTTTGGTCTGAGGCCGGATTTGAACTCAGGTCCTCCTGACTTCAGGACTGGTGTTCTATCCACTGTGCCACCTAGCTACCCCTCTACTTTCAGTTTAATGAAGAAAAAATATTTGCACAGAGATGTGTGTGTGTATGTGTTTACGTATATGCATGCATGTTGTATATATTCCACATACACATGCGTGCGTGCGTGTATATGTGTGTGTGTGTGTGTGTGTGCATAACAGACCATCCTGGCCCCCACTGCCTGAAGATCAGGTATGGTATGTTTTTACTTCTCCCCAGAGTTCTCTAGTATCTCAAGGAGATTTGCCCCCGCTCCCAGTGTCTGGGCTCTCTACAAATGACTCCTGCCCCCACTAATATTGTTGTCTGAGTTGTAAGGAGTGGTCCCTTGCACCCTAGTTCCATTAGCCCCTATAGTCAGATTAGCTTTTACAAAGTAATATTTACTTCAAAAGGTGTGATCACAAATATTATAAACTTCCCCAACACGTCGGAGATGCCCTCTCACTTTTGGCCTACCTAAATTTCTAGAGAGGGAAAAGGGATTAGGTTCATAGTTTAGCTTTGTTCTTATGGAGCACAGTCCCATTTCTAAGTCTAAAGTCCACCTTGGGTTCAAGTCTCAGGCCCTCTGGCTTCTCAAGGCTTCCATGTTGGACTGACTGGCTTTACTATCCTGACTTCAATCTTGGCTCCAAGATCATCATGTCTTAAATCCTGAGTCTGTGGGGATCACTTCCAGCACCTGAAACTGAGGAGCCCAAACAACACAAAACAGAATAAACACCTCAGGCCCATTTCTTGGAGCCAGGGTGAAAAAGAGAGAGCTGGAGAAGGAAGTTCCTTCTCTCTCACCAGTTCAGTTTATGGTGCCCATGCTGCAGGTGAATTATAATCTTCACCCTCTCCACGTGGCAGATAAGAGTGGATGAAAAAGAGCAGCAGAAAGAGTGGTCAAAAAGAGAAGGGACAACTGGCTCGGTTTCACCAGTTTTAAAGACACAGGGAGCCAATCAAAGGAGGCTACCCTCATCTACCCCACATGTGAGAAGATGCAGTGGCCTCCACATTAGGCAATCTGAACATTCTTCAAAGGCTTCTCAAGGACCCTTCCATGTTATGCAAGTTAGGTAGGCCAGACAAGCCTGGGTTACATACATACACACGAATACTTACATACCTACACACATGTGTATATATTTATACATATATATACATATTGCATTTATATGTGTACGTATATATTTATTGTTGTTCAGTCATATCCATGTCTTCATGAGGTTTTCTTGACAGAGATACTAGAATGGTTTGCCACTTCCTTCTCCAGCTCATTTTACAAATGAGGAAACTGAGGCAAATGGGTTTAAGTGTCTTGCCCAAGGTCACATTGCTAGTAAGTATCTTGAGGCCAGATTTGAATTCACAAAGATGAGCCTTCCCTAGGTCAGGAAATTCACTTTAATACTGCAGGTTGACACATCCTCTCTAACTTATTACTTATTGTCTTAGTTACCTAAAGCATGGAGAGGTTAAGAAAATGATTTGTCCAGGCAGGGCCTCACAAACAGTATGTCTCAGAGGCAGGACTTTAATGGAAGGTTCTCTGTCTACTACTCCATGTTCTCTTTCTCTTTGTCTCATTGTCTCTCTCTGTCTCTGTCTCTCTGTCTCTGTCTGTCTGTCTCTCTCCCTCTCTCTCTCTCTTTCTCTCTTTGTCTGTCTGTCTGTCTGTCTCTCTTCCCTACTTTGCCCTCTTTATTTTCCATTTCATTCCTTTTTCCAGTCCAGGCATAGAAGAAAGAGAGGGAGAAGGAAGGGAGGGAGGGAGGGAGGAAAGTTGGTTAATTATAAGGTTTAAATCCACCTTGATAGAAAATTGGAATGAAGAAGCAGATTTTTGGACAATACCTGAATTTCACTCTCTGACCTGGGGATATAGAAAATTTTGGCTTTATGTATCCCAAAGATATCAATAAAAATAACTTTTTCACACTTCTTCTTGATAACCTTGGGAAATAACTGGGACTTAGCTGTTCCTTTTATCCACTTCAATTTGACACAGAGGTGGAAAACTTACTTATCTAATGCTTACAGATTTCTATCTTTGTAACTCTCTGACTGGGTTGTTGTGATGTATTCTGAAATTGGAGCTGCCCTTACATTCTCCAAATTCTCAACTTGATCTGACATAGACAAGAGTGATCTGCTTTCGTATAAATTAGACCTAAATGGGTTATCTCATTTCCAAATCAAAAACTCAAGTTGGGCTTCTGTTTACTTTGATATGAAATTTTGAGATTTTAATTGTAATCTGTAATCCTCTTTATGGTACAAATCTTCAGGGCCATGAATAACTCCTCTCTATGTATATTCCATTCTTTCACCACGACAGAACATTCCTGCCATCTTTTCCTATGTAATAGGAAGCACAGTTTGTGTGTGTGTGTGTGTGTGTGTATGTGCAGCCATTCATTCATTCTTTCATTTACATAGAAAACATGTATTAAGCACATTCTTAACTGTGTAGGCATAAAACTAAACCCTGTAAGAAAAGATATAAACAAATGTGTGATGGTATGATGTAGACCCAAAGATGACAAAATTCAAAGATGGCATAGGGTTGGTAAGGAATAGCTTTATCAAGGTAGTCTTGATTTGAGCTTTGAACAAAATATAGGATTTGGGTTTTTCAGACTAAGACTAAATGGAAGACATTCGAGAGAGAAATAACAGGATGAAGGAGGGTGAAACATCAGCATCGTATATTAGAAGAAATGTAAGAAGACTGATGTGGTTGAAACAAGAAGCTATGTTAAGTGCTAGCAAGATGAAATTAGGGAAAATAATATATGACCAGTTGATAGAAAGTCCAGAATTCCAGTAGTTTGGACAGAGTTCTGATGGACAAAAAGGAGCCCTGGTAAGTTTTTTAGCAGGTGGTAAGGTAGAGAAAATTATGTTTTAGGAAGATGAGTCTTGGCATTGTGTTACAAGATAGACTTAAGCAGGGAGCCAGCCAGAGTGCTAACGAAACAATTGAAGTGTAAGGTATTGAGTTAGAGGATGAGAGAGTGGAATGACTGAAAGGAAAAGCCATGGCAAAGGAAGATATAGATAAATTGGAAATTGATTTATTGGAGCTGGGGAATGAGATTTAGAGAGCGGTATCAGAGTCAAATATAAGTTCAAGGTTATGAATCTGAGGGATGGTGGTAATATTGGTTGCATTCAATATTGGTCCCATGGAAAATTTTGAAGGAGACAGATTTGTCTTTGAAACTTTAAAATTGCTTCTTTTACAATTTGAACTTGTCCCCTGCCTAAAGTGCTTCAGAGATTCTTAAAACTAAGAATCTGGCCTGTATTAGCCCCAAGACTAGAAGGTAAACCCTGCTAAGTCCCTGGATTGTGGAACCACACTATTAGTTAACATTACCATGTTCGAACATCTATAATTCTTAGAAATGTCTTCCAGCATAATGTTATCCAAACTTTATATGGTGAAAACACCCTCACCTTTTTTTCTCCCCTACAAAAATGTCTTATCCCCCATGCTTTGCCTGAAGTATTCTACACTGATAATTTTCTTACCTGACAAAACACACTTCTGACACCTCCTGGCTATGTGACCCTGGGCAAAACAACTATCTAAGACAAGACAATAAACTGCAGAGGAGGGGGCAACCTACATTGTTATAGAGAATTTCCTCACCTGGGAGTTCCTTATATCAGCGAAGTCACAGGTCCAGTCCCTAGTCCTCAGCATTTGAT